TTAATTACATAATCTCTCGACTTCGGCAGATGATAAGGCCAATATGTCCAATTTCAAAGCTAATGTTAGTTCGTGCAATGTTCTTGATTAATTATTTTTAAAAAAGGCGAATTACATCTTTTCAGTGAACATGCACGTATTTCGAAGCAGGCTTTGCAATGGAGAAATGTTTTAGATTTTGAGTTCTTACATAAAGAATTTACAAAACTCGTGATATGAATTTTTGAAGAAAAAAAAAAAAAGACATTCGTACATTGATCTTAAATTTTGCCAATTTTTTTTTTCTTTTTTCTTTTTTTTTTATCCGTTTCTCGTAAATAACACTGACGCATCTGCAAAGTACTATTAAACGTTTCCGTTACCAAGGTTGCTCATAGTAAATAGTGAATTATCTCTCGGGGTGTCAGGTGCTAGTTCAATCTGAACCATTCGCAATTCAATTGCACTATTCTCTCTCAACCTGGTAACCGAGTGCGACAGTTCAGTTTGCAATTTGCACCGTATCCTGTCTTTATTGCAATCTTCTTCTACGAAATAATAAGTACTTTCACTTTTGTGAAAGATAAATTAATCGATATTACGTGGAAAAAGGAAAGAACCTATTGTAATTGTATTTGTTCTCAATACGATTATTTTATTTGAATTCGAAGAGTAAAAGAAATCAATAACTCCATTCACAGCGTGACTCTGTCCAAGTAAATTTCACTTACAACGATGTATTTTGTTGTTTCAGACCATTTCCATTTCCATGTTGTTACGATACTCGCATCACCAGATCTTCGTTTTCATTGGTAAGTAATCGCAAGAATTATTTAATTTCCGCTTGCTTTTGTTCGCTAGTATTTGTGTGTGGTATTCATGCTTGAGTGACATTTATGCTTTGCTTTTGATTTGGCTATAAATTCTAACATTAGATTTTCCGTTCTTTTCCACTTATACTATCGATAGATGCCTGTCTCGTGCAAGCTCTAGATCATAAAAAATACGCAGAATTCTAATTCACTTAAGTGATACCCTTTCCACGGAGCTATTGGCTTCTTTCCTTCGACAATTAATCTATAATTTAATCTTTGATTATCTGTAAAGGTGAATGCCCTCCGATCTGATAATAGAATTAATTGATTTCCGTATCTGTAGCTTTATAAAATTCAAGTCGATACCGATTTTAAAAAAGATTTTCTATCTGCACTAGGGAATCGAGAAGAAAAAAAGAGAAAAGAAATATCGATTATCTGAAAATCTGAGGTGAATACCCTCTTATCCACGGTCGTGCTTGTAAAATATTTTACCCTCTCCCCTTGCTCGTTTCCTTTATAAAGAGGCTTTTTTAAACAATTGCTCTATATTCCCTGGCAACTAGTCGACAGCCGTTTCTCTCGCACGCTTCCCCGAAATGATGGGAGCATTGTCTATTTCCGAGTTGTTGTTCATCTCTCTGGTGGTCATCGGCATGGCCAAGTTGATCTCACTGGTGTATCTACAGTTGACATATTGGAAGAAGAACAAAGTTCCATACGTGCGGGCAGGGCCGATATTCGGAACCGCTTGGAAAGTGTTCTTTCGTCGCATCAGCTTCCCGGACTATTGCAAATTCATTTATAATTATTATCCGAATGTACGATACGTCGGTGTGATGGATTTAGCCACGCCGACGGTGATCGTGCGGGACCCGAGGCTGATCAGCGAGATGTTCGTAAAGAATTTCCAACATTTCCCGAATCATCGAAGCTTCGTGTCCGAGGAGATGGACCCGATCTTTGGGAGGAATGTATTTTCCCTGAAGGACGATCGATGGAGGGAGATGAGGAACAGGTTGAGCCCATTCTTCACCGGCAATAAGATGAGATTCATGTTCGAGTTGGTGTCCAAGTGCTCGGACAACTTCGTCGATTACCTGTACGAACACTCGGGATTTCATTCCGCGGTCGAGTTGAAAGACATCTTCACCAGATACGGTAACGACGTAATCGCAACGGCAGCTTTCGGTATAGACGTGAACTCGCTGAAGGATCCAGACAACGAGTTCTACAAGAGAGGGATCGAAGTCTCCTCGTTCGGTGGTACTCTTCGTTTCATAAAATTCCTGCTGTTCCGATTGAGCCCGCGTCTAACGAGAGCGGCCGGACTGACGTTCCTGTCGCGAGCGACGGCCAGATTTTTCTGGGACGTGATCTGCGAAACGGTGACCACAAGGGAGAGACGAGGCATCGTTAGACCAGACATGATATATCTTCTGATGCAGGCGAAAGACTCGAAGGAACCTGGCTCGTCCCGCATGACTATCGACGACATCGTCGCTCAGGCGTTCATTTTCTTCTTGGCCGGTTTCGACACTGTTTCCACCTTGATGTCTTACGTCGTTTACGAGTTGGCCTTGCAGCAAGACGTACAACAGAAGCTACGCGAAGAGATAGACGGTTACTTGAAACAGGGAAACGGGAACATTTCTTACGAGGCTATGTCGAACATGGAGTACATCGAAATGGTAATATCCGAGACTCTCAGAATGCATCCTCCAACGTTGATAATCGACAGAGTTTGCGCAAAGAAGTTCCAATTGCCTCCAGCGGCGCCCGGCTATCAAACTGCGACAGTCTATCCCAATAATAACGTTTGGATCCCTGTTCTTGCGATTCATCGCGATCCTAAGTATTTCCCTGATCCGGAGAGGTTCGATCCCGAACGATTCAGTAACGATAATAAGAACAACATCGATCCGTATGCGTATCTACCGTTTGGAGTTGGCCCTAGAAAATGTATTGGCAATCGTTTCGCGTTGATGGAAACGAAACTTTTGATCATCCGTCTGCTGGCAAAATTTGTCGTGAAACCCAACGAAAGAACAAAGGTTCCCATCGTGTACAAAAAAGTTGATTTTACGCTCGCGTCGAAAGACGGATTTTGCGTCACTCTGGAAAAGAGAAAGTCAGATTCACTGTAAAAACGTGTATTGTTAACAAATGTGTAATCGATCGATTGGCTTCCCTATTTTATTCCTCTTGTTGTTGTTGTTGTTTTAACATGAAGCCATTTCTATGTTCAAGGGTGCGAGGGTCTTTTCCACGGTTTTATTTTTCGCTTTCCTTTATTTTTGAGGAAATAAAAATTCCATTGATTTTCCATTGCGAGGTACAAGAGGTGTTTGTATCTTGCGATTAATAAAATCGATGAACAATGAGCAAAAACCTGAATAAAATTTTTTTGTTTTCGTCCCATTTCTCCACGAACTGAAGGTTCATTGTTAAATGAAGCGCCTGTTAATCGGAATAAATGGCCTAAACAAAAATAGCCCATTTGTTCATATTGCGCTGTGAGATATATATATATATATATATAAAAAAAGAAAAAAAGAAATGAATGTAAGATGTGAAAAATGAACGCGCGTTTTAACGCGCGCGAGTGTTTCAAAGCGGGAGTTGCGTAGTTGCGGATAATACCGCTTTAATTCCCATATATATATTTTTCCATTTTTGTAAATGGCAAATGTTTCCGTTCAAAGCGGTGGCGAGATTGACAGCAACAATTGTTGCAAAATGTATTTTCAGAATATCGACGAGGAAGAGCGCAGTTTTTTTCGGCACGCAGTTGACAACAACAAACATTCGACCCTCTCCTTCTCTCTCGCTTGGTACAGTCCGCATATGTGTTTGTCCATATTTGCAATATTCCTCCTAGTCGCTAACGAAACAGAGTCGCTCTTCAATCGATCCTCTAGTTTTCTATTTTTTTCCTGTTCAAACTGTTGGCGATCGGCTTGATCGTTCTTGGTCTGAGCACAGCGCTGTCTCAGTCAGTTTAATTACATCAGTGGTACAATTACTGGGGGAAAAAGGCACGTTCCTCGGGGAATTCGTGTTCACTCGTCGCGTGTCTCTTCCCGATTATTGCACGTTCGTTTACAATTATTACCCGAACGCCAGGCACGTCGGTATGATGGATTTCTCTCTGTGCCAGTTGTGGTAATTCGGCATCCGGAGATGATTCGAGCGAAGAATTTCGAGCATTTCCCCAACGGAAGAAAATAGATCCGATCTTTGGGAATAATATGTTCTCTTTGAGAGATGATGGATGGAGAGAGAGAACACATCCTTCACGACTGGCAAGATGAGATTCATGTTCGATGCCTAAATATTCCGAAGAAATTATACGATCATCCAGAATTCTTACGATAGAGGTGAAATTCTTGGAATCGCCAGTGTGGCTTCTGGGACGAGCGTGAACTCGCTGAAAAATCGAGGACAAGGAATTTTACAAAAAATGGAGCAGATGCCACGATTTTCGTGGATCGGTTTCTGTGTTACACCAGAATGGCGGAATTATCATTCCTTTCAACCTTTTCCACAGGGCCATCTTTGAAACGGCGAAGGCACGGGTCGAACAAAGCATCGTTCGACCGGACATGATTCGCCTTTTGATGCCACAGCTTTTTCTTTTTTTTTTTTGGTTGATTTTGACACGTTGAGATCTGGATTACGTGGTGCACGAGTTGGCACTTAATCCGCACGCTGAACAGAAACTACGAAAGGATGTGGATCGATACATGAAAGAAGGGGACCAGCCTGATTTCATGCGAAGCTCTTTCGAGAATGGAGTACACGAAGATGATCATATCGGAGACACTTTGAAAATATCCTCCGGTGGTTTTCGTCTGCCTGCAAAAGTCCCAACTGCTTCCTGCCGAACCTGGTTACGACGATTTAACCGCGCGCGTATAGCTTATCTGTTGCACTCTGTTGGACTCTGTTTGAAAAGAAAAGAACGAAAACGTCCATCGAATTCAGCAAGACGAATTTTTTCATTGACCACGATCGGTCTATCGAAATAAGGAAAACTCGTTTACATTCGCGTTGTCATTTTGCTTGCTACTTTGTTGATTAAATATCAATAGATTTACTAATTGTGTTTCTGCGAAGGGAAATATTTGCGATAAAATTATATTTAAGCTTATTAAACGTGATAGAACATTTTTATTTTAGAAACTTCGAAGATCGTTTCAGTACCAGTTTCACCATAAAAACAACCGTAGAATACAAAAGTATCATAACCCACGCACGATATTCGCCTGAAAGATACCAACGTCACAAAGTATCATTTATCGATAGATACCAAATCTATCAAATTTTATCGTCAGTTGTAACATATTGGGCGATTACTCTTGCTTTTGTTCAACATTAACTTCCACCGTTAATTCTACCGATATTTTTATTCCAGCCACGTAAATATGTTTTCAAGTTGCACGTATTATCTCGAGTGCCTCCGAATTTCGATAAGACGTTCTTGAAATGGAAATTTCGTTGTACGAAATCTTTTTTCTTCTTTTCGATTCCTTACGACGAAACAGTGACCCATATATTCTTCCTGTCAAACAAAACGTCCGCAATGCCATTGCAATTAAAATATGTATACCAAAACGAATTTATCTAATCGATACGTATATAGAGCATTGGACGTTTGTTGTATCACGCCTCAGAAGTTTCACGTTTTTCCACTAATTCTTCTGCGAGGATTATCACGATTATCACAATCCTTTCTTTACAAATCTCAACAATTGTTTCTCGTCTTATTTCACTGCGTGAGGGAAACATTTGTTATTTGTTACAGTCTCTTAATAATAATAAAATTGATAGAGATTAATAGAGATGAATTTCCATGCCATATCAGTCAACCAGAAAATTCCGATGGTCTCGCTATCTCGATATCGATACTTTGATGGACAATTTTCTCTCTCTCTCTCTCT